CATGTGTGTACATGTGTGTACATGTGTGTACATGTGTACATGTGTGTACATGTGTGTACATGTGTACATGTGTGTACATGTGTGTACATGTGTGTACATGTGTACATGTGTGTACATGTGTGTACATGTGTACATGTGTGTACATGTGTGTACATGTGTGTACATGTGTACATGTGTGTACATGTGTGTACATGTGTACATGTGTGTACATGTGTGTACATGTGTGTACATGTGTGTACATGTGTGTACATGTGTTACATGGTGTACATGTGTGTACATGTGTGTACATGTGTGTACATGTTGTACATGTGTGTACATGTGTGTACATGTGTGTACATGTGTGTACATGTGTACATGTGTGTACATGTGTGTACATGTGTGTACATGTGTACATGTGTGTACATTGTGTACATGTGTGTACATGTGTACATGGTGTACATGTGTGTACATGTGTGTACATGTGTACATGTGTGTACATGTGTGTACATGTGTGTACATGTGTACATGTGTGTACATGTGTACATGTGTGTACATGTGTGTACATGTGTGTACATGTGTGTACATGTGTACATGTGTGTACATGTGTACATGTGTGTACATGTGTGTACATGTGTGTACATGTGTGTACATGTGTGTACATGTGTGTACATGTGTGTACATGTGTACATGTGTGTACATGTGTACATGTGTGTACATGTGTGTACATGTGTGTACATGTGTACATGTGTGTACATGTGTGTACATGTGTGTACATGTGTGTACATGTGTGTACATGTGTGTACATGTGTACATGTGTGTACATGTGTGTACATGTGTACATGTGTGTACATGTGTGTACATGTGTACATGTGTGTACATGTGTGTACATGTGTGTACATGTGTGTACATGTGTGTACATGTGTGTACAGTGTGTACATGTGTGTACATGTGTGTACATGTGTACAATGTGTGTACATGTGTGTACATGTGTGTACATGTGTACATGTGTGTACATGTGTGTACATGTGTACATGTGTGTACATGTGTGTACATGTGTACATGTGTGTACATGTGTACATGTGTGTACATGTGTGTACATGTGTGTACATGTGTGTACATGTGTACATGTGTGTACATGTGTACATGTGTGTACATGTGTGTACATGTGTGTACATGTGTGTACATGTGTGTACATGTGTACATGTGTGTACATGTGTGTACATGTGTGTATATGTGTACATGTGTGTACATGTGTGTACATGTGTGTACATGTGTACATGTGTGTACATGTGTACATGTGTGTACATTGTGTGTACATGTGTGTACATGTGTACATGTGTGTACATGTGTGTACATGTGTACATGTGGTGTACATGTGTGTACATGTGTACATGTGTGTACATGTGTGTACATTGTGTAACATGTGTGTACATGTGTGTACATGTGTACATGTGTGTACATGTGTGTACATGTGTGTACATGTGTACATGTGTGTACATGTGTGTACATGTGTACATGTGTGTACATGTGTGTACATGTGTACATGTGTACATGTGTGTACATGTGTGTACATGTGTGTACATGTGTACATGTGTGTACATGTGTACATGTGTGTACATGTGTGTACATGTGTGTACATGTGTACATGTGTGTACATGTGTGTACATGTGTGTACATGTGTACATGTGTACATGTGTGTACATGTGTGTACATGTGTGTACATGTGTACATGTGTGTACATGTGTGTACATGTGTACATGTGTGTACATGTGTGTACATGTGTGTACATGTGTGTACATGTGTGTACATGTGTACATGTGTGTACATGTGTGTACATGTGTGTACATGTGTACATGTGTGTACATGTGTGTACATGTGTACATGTGTGTACATGTGTGTACATGTGTGTACAACATGTGTGTACATGTGTGTACATGTGTACATGAGTGTACATGTGTGTACATGTGTGTACATGTGTACATGTGTGTACATGTGTACATGTGTGTACATGTGTGTACATGTGTGTACATGTGTGTACATGTGTGTACATGTGTGTACATGTGTACATGTGTGTACATGTGTGTACATGTGTGTACATGTGTTACATGTGTACATGTGTGTACATGTGTACATGTGTGTACATGTGTACATGTGTGTACATGTGTACATGTGTGTACATGTGTACATGTGTGTACATGTGTGTACATGGTGTACATGTGTGTACATGTGTGTACATGTGTGTACATGTGTACATGTGTGTACATGTGTACATGTGTGTACATGTGTACATGTGTGTACATGTGTGTACATGTGTGTACATGTGTACATGTGTGTACATGTGTGTACATGTGTGTACATGTGTACATGTGTGTACATGTGTGTACATGTGTACATGTGTGTACATGTGTGTACATGTGTACATGTGTGTACATGTGTGTACATGTGTACTGTGTACATGTGTGTACATGTGTGTACATGTGTACATGTGTGTACATGTGTGTACATGTGTACATGTGTGTACATGTGTGTACATGTGTGTACATGTGTGTACATGTGTGTACATGTGTGTACATGTGTGTACATGTGTGTACATGTGTGTACATGTGTGTATGTGTGTACATGTGTGTACATGTGTGTACATGTGTGTACATGTGTGTACATGTGTGTACATGTGTACATGTGTGTACATGTTGTACATGTGTGTACATGTGTGTACATGTGTGTACATGTGTGTACATGTGTGTACATGTGTGTACATGTGTGTACATGTGTGTACATGTGTGTACATGTGTGTACATGTGTGTACATGTGTGTACATGTGTGTACATGTGTGTACATGTGTGTACATGTGTGTACATGTGTGTACATGTGTGTACATGTGTGTACATGTGTGTACATGTGTGTACATGTGTGTACATGTGTACATTGTGTACATGTGTGTACATGTGTGTACATGTGTGTACATGTGTGTACATGTGTACATGTGTGTACATGTGTGTACATGTGTACATGTGTGTACATGTGTGTACATGTGTGTACATGTGTACATGTGTGTACATGTGTGTACATGTGTGTACATGTGTGTACAGTGTGTACATGTGTGTACATGTGTGTACATGTGTGTACATGTGTGTACATGTGTACATGTGTGTACATTGTGTACATGTGTGTACATGTGTGTACATGTGTGTACATGTGTGTACATGTGTGTACATGTGTACATGTGTGTACATGTGTACATGTGTGTACATGTGTGTACATGTGTGTACATGTGTACATGTGTGTACATGTGTACATGTGTGTACATGTGTACATGTGTGTACATGTGTACATGTGTGTACATGTGTGTACATGTGTACATGTGTGTACATGTGTGTACATGTGTGTACATGTGTACATGTGTGTACATGTGTGTACATGTGTACATGTGTGTACATGTGTGTACATGTGTACATGTGTGTACATGTGTGTACATGTGTACATGTGTGTACATGTGTGTACATGTGTGTACATGTGTACATGTGTGTACATGTGTGTACATGTGTACATGTGTGTACATGTGTGTACATGTGTGTACATGTGTGTACATGTGTACATGTGTGTACATGTGTACATGTGTGTACATGTGTGTACATGTGTGTACATGTGTGTACATGTGTGTACATGTGTGTACATGTGTACATGTGTGTACATGTGTGTACATGTGTACATGTGTGTACATGTGTACATGTGTGTACATGTGTGTACATGTGTACATGTGTACATGTGTGTACATGTGTGTACATGTGTACATGTGTGTACATGTGTGTACATGTGTGTACAACATGTGTGTACATGTGTGTACATGTGTACATGAGTGTACATGTGTGTACATGTGTGTACATGTGTACATGTGTGTACATGTGTGTACATGTGTACATGTGTGTACATGTGTACATGTGTGGAATGGGTGCATGTATGCAAGCAGGGAGGAGATGAGGGATTCTCACATTCGTCGACTGTCTCAGGAGCACGAACAGAAATCCGAGGTTGGTGTAACTTGTAACCTGAGATTGGCAGCAACCAGATGTTACTAGTAACCCAAAGTAATTAGAAACCAGATGTTACTGGTAACCCAAAGTAATTAGAAACCAGAGGTAGCAGTAAACAGAAGTTAGTGGTACCCAGGAAATACAGGAAGCTAATTCCTCTCCTGTTTCTTTACACTGCAGGCTGGGGAATCGCAGCTTCGGAGAGAGGCAGCAGCGGCAGAGGCTCGGCGCCGAGCCGAGATCGAAGCTGAACTTCGGGCGAAGCAACAGAGGGAAATGGAGGAGGAGAGGAGGAGGAAGGAGGAGGAGAGAAGAAGAAAGGAGGAGGAGGAGAGGAGGAAGGAGGAGGAGCGGAAGAGGGAGGTGGAGAGGCAGCAGCAGGAGGTGGAGTCGAGCAGAAGGGCAGCCCAGGCGGCAAAAGCAGCTGCTGATGCAGCAGACGCGAGAGCAGCAGCAGAGGTAACTTCACGGGTCACACAGCAATAATATTACAGTTGCTTCTGAGAATTCTCATCAGCTGCTGCTGATGCAGCAGATGCACGAGCAGCAGCAGAGGTGGGTTGTGTTGAGAGTTGGGTTGGGTTTGGTTGGGTTGTTTTGGGTTGAGGTGCGGACTTGAGCGCTGAGCCAAGGCAGCAGCAGCAGGAGGTGCAGGCGAGCAGGAGGGCAGCCCAGGCGGCAAAGGCAGCTGCTGATGCAGCAGACGCGAGAGCCGCAGCAGAGGTGGGTTGGGAGGGCAGCAGCAGAGGTGGGAAATATGCAGAAAATTTGAGGGCAGCAATGTTGCGACATCCCTCGATGGAGGGTGGGCTTGTGTAATATTATGTGTGCCTGGCTTTGTTCTGTGTTCTTTGTTATCTGCTCCTTGTTCCTTGTTTATATCGTATGTGTGTGTGTGTGTGTGTGTGTGTGTGTGTGTGTGTGTGTGTGTGTGTGTGTGTGCTTGCATTTGATTCTCTGTTGTGACTTTGTTCATGTGGCTATCTGTTAATGTACTTTCATCCACATATCCCTCCGTCTCCTGCTCCTCACTCCCCCTCATTCCAGGTGAAAGCAGCAGCAGCCGCAGAAGCCAAAAAGAAGCAAGGTGAGTGTGGGGTGGGCAGTGGTGACATGCGGCGATGGGTGGTGATTATGGTTTGGTTGGGGTTTTAAGTGAAACATGATGATGGGAGGAATGGGCCACTGATAGGAGGAGTCCCTAAGAAAATGCGAGTGGCTGAAGGGAGCAGCGAGTGGCTGAAGGGAGCAGCGAGTGGCTGAAGGGAGCAGCGAGTGGCTGAAGGGAGCAGCGAGTGGCTGAAGGGAGCAGCGAGTGGCTGAAGGGAGCAGCGAGTGGCTGAAGGGAGCAACGAGTTCAGATAACCTTAGAATCGATATAACCTTAGAATCGAGATAACCTTAGAATCGAGATAACCTTAGAATCGAGATAACCTTAGAATCGAGATAACCTTAGAATCGATGACTTCCCCCGCCCCCTTCTTTGCCTCCCAATGCTCCCATCAAGCAGCGCAGCGAAGTTCGAAAGTGCGAGTGGCGGAAGGGGCAGCCAAGGAGGCAGAGGCCAGGCTGGCACGGCTGAAGGCGATGCGAGATGAGATCGCTCCCATCATGGCTGATAACGCAAGAAAGAAGGTGAGGGGCAGGGCTACCAAGTGGAAGTCCTCTGAACCGCATCATACCGCATTTCACACGGCTGAAGGCGATGCGAGATGAGATCGCTCCCATCATGGCTGATAATGCACGGAAGAAGGTGAGTGGAGGAGGGCTACCGAGTGGAAACGCACTGGACCGCATCACACCGCATCTCACCGCCCCAGAGTGCATTCACATGGCTCGAGGCGATGCGAGATGAGATCGCTCCCATCATGGCTGATAATGCACGGAAAAAGGTGTGAGCAGGGTGAATGGGTGAAAATGCACTGGGTTCTCCTCTCCTTGTGTCAAATCACAACTTGTTGCATCACAATGCATCAGACTGCATCCAACCGCATCCCACTCCGTCCCACCACATCGCACCGCAGGACCGCAAGACTGTGGAGCGGCGAATCATTCTGCTGGTTCAGCAGATCTCCGCCTCGCACGACCAAATCGCGTAAGAAGTGATGTGGATTCGCCCAACATGACGTGGCATGACCTGACATGATGTGGCATGACCTGACATGATGTGGCATGACCTGGTGTACGTACGTGCGTGCGCGTGTGTTATTCACCCTTTCCTTCTATGTAAAGCAGTAGGAGACCAGTCTGGACCAAGAGTGAGTAGTACAGACTGGCCTCGATCTGTTCGGTTCAGTCTGGACCAAGAGTGGGTAGTCATGGCTGGTTGGCTGGCATGCAAAATGCACCGTTTCTTTTTTATCATAATCACGTAAAACAGGTGCCTCCCAAAAGAAGGAAACGAATTGTGTCGAGTCATCCGCCTTCAATTGTTCCTCCCCTGCTCCGTGCTCGTAACGATGTGTGCCTTGAATAAGTTTTTTCTCCCCTTGAAAGAAGATTTGTTTCGAGACGTCCCAAAGCAAATCTTCTTTCATATCCGTCTAGTCATCCGCCTCCCATTGTTCCTTCGCTGGTCTGTACTCTTCAAATATGAGCTCCTTGACTGGTTTTTTTTTCTCCCCTTTTTCTGCAACCAATCACGCAGCAAGAAGTCAGCAGATCTCACGGCCCTCCTGCGGGACCCATCTCTTCCCCAGACGTTCGTCGCAATCACCTTTGCCTCCAAGGTGCGTTGCTCACTTCACTCTCTTCATACATGTGAAGTAAGATGTCTGCTGATCTCACAGCTCGTCTGCACGGAATTTCTCTTCCCCAGACGTTCATTGCAATCACCTTCGCCTCCAAGGTGCGTTGCTCTTTCTTTATTTCAGTGCCCGTTTTTTATTGGATTCATTGGTCGGATGGGGGCTTTATTGGTCAGATGGGGGCTACACTGGTCAGATGGATGACTCATTGAGCAATCTCTTTTTTCACGCATTGTACACCCCCTCCCAGATTCTATCCCAGTGCGAGTCCCAAGTTACCAAGTTACCGCCGTTCGCATTCGCTCTCGCGCAAGTCATCGTGAACGTGTCCACACAGGTGAGAGTCTCTTTTCTTTTCTCTCTTCATGTATGTCGCGCAAGTCATCGTCAACTACTTTTAGTTTTTTTTCCAAAATGGCTTTCTCTTCTCTCATCCTCCCTTTTGCTCTCTCTTCCTGCCTGCAGGCGCCCATAGCCATGGAAGCCTTGATCGCAAGCCTGAACGAGACCTGCATCTACACCGTGCCACAGCACTACGTCTTCTCCGAGGTATGTTATGTTATGCTCTAGGTATTGACTTGATCATATTTTAGGCGCCTCAGAACTAGGCTTTGATTGCATGCCTGAACGAGACCTACATCTACACCATTTCACAGCACTATGTCTTCTCCGAGGTATGTTATGCTCTTTGTATGATCTTATTGGAGTTACTTGTGAGATTTCTCGAATACATCTTCGGTTTCCTCCATTTCTTGACTAGCGCAACATTACTATATACCGTTGTTGTTGCCTGTTGATTGGAATTCCTTCATTATTATCCGCTAATCTCTACACCTTCGGGCCTTACGTGGCAAGCTTGATTCCCCTCTGGCGATGCCTCCTATAGTGACTTGGGGTAAAGGGAGAAAGTGGGCCCTTCGTTCTTATCCCCCCTTCTTTGGCCCCCCTATTTCAACCCCTTTTCAATCATTATCTCCCCCTTGATGCAGACCTCTTACCACTCCGACGACGCCTATTATCGCGATTTGGGATACAGAGAGGAAGAGGGGGGGGGTGGGAAGAAGCGCATGGAGTCGACTGATGCGTTTATAGAGAGGATGACCGGATACATTACACTAATGGCTGCTATATGTCAGGTATGCTTATAACGAGTATGGAGGGCGGGAAGAAGCGAATGGACTTGACCAATGCTATTATAGAGAGGATGACCGGATTCATTACACTCATGGCTGCTATTTGCCAGGTATGCTTATAAAGAGGATGACAGGATACATCACGCTCATGGCTGCTATATGCCAGGTTTGCTTATAGAGAGGATGACATGGTAGCACTGAACTCGGCTGCTATACGGTTTACAGGCGTGTTTGCAGACATAATCTTCTGACACTAAGCACTATACAGCGGCTGCTATTCCATGCTATTCCATGCCATTCCATGCCATTAGGTGGTATTCCATGCTTTTCTCCATGCCACTCCATGCTATTAGGTGGTATTCCATGCTCTTCTCCATGCCATTCCGTGCTATTAGGTGGTATTCCATGCTATTCTCCATGCCATTCCATGCTATTAGGTGGTATTCCATGCTATTCTCCATGCCATTCCATGCTATTCTCCATGCCACTCCATGCTATTAGGTGGTATTCCATGCTATTCTCCATGCCATTCCATGCTATTCCATGCTTCCCATCAATGCTCAGCTTCCCACTCTTTTCCCCGAACGACTCCCCTGCCCCCTGTGTACCCTTCTCATCACCTCCCTCCTCACTTCCCCCTTTCGTGCTGGACCATTCCACCGCCTGGTACCACACTGCACCCCTTGGGCTTGTCCTGTGTCAGGCAAAGTGTGTGCATGCTGTTCTAAATGACACCTGAGTGAGCGAAAGACTCAGTTGCTTTTCATGTCCTCCCTTCTCTCTTCCTCTGTGCCAGACCCTCCCGCCTGGCACTGCAGTGCACCCCTTTGGCTTGTCCCATGCATGGCAGTGGTGTGCCCGGCTGCTGAACCACCTTCCAGCCAATCGGGCTTCCGCTACCGCTTTGGAAGTCTTCCTCAAGGTACGGTACTTGTACCGATGATGCATTCGTTGGGGTGCTTTCCTCTGGTAAGATTTTATACTCGAGTGGAATACCGGTAAATTGGTGATCATCTTCGGAAGAGACAGCTGCTTTCCTCTGTCCACATTTTGCCTATCCCTATCCCTGTCCCTCGTCTCGTCTCCATATCCCTGTTCCTCGTCTCGTCTCCCTATCCCTGTCCCAACTCCGAGCTTAGAACTGCAAATACCATACCTAGGTAAATACAAGACAATGCGGATGGCATCGACGAATGGTTCTACTGTACAATCAGCAATGCGATGCCATGTGCCTGTGTTATTACCTAGGTATGTCCACCCAGCGATGGCAGCAGCAGTCCTAGACAAGTATGGCAAGGGATGCCATTCACACACATGGAATAAGCGCGATTCCCGATCTTGAATTAAGGAGCAGTAAGCCAAGCTTCATGACAGCTGCAGACAAAGGTTTACTGAGGGTCCATTCCTGCGGGGACACTTGTGTCTCAATCCCCGATTTCCCGAGTCGCGCCTGTAAATTTGCCAAATGTTGTGTCACAAACAACCAATGTATCGCGACTCTAGGCGACCAGGCGAGATGTACAGTTGTGCGCATTTGTTTGGGTGACACAAATGACTGTACATCCCTTTTTTCAACCGCTTGGTTGGGGTGTGGTTTCGACGAGCGGGATTTTTTCCCGCACGAAATTGGCATTGCAGGCTGTCCAGGTGCATTGACATTTCGAGCAGCGTGCGAATTTTTCACATTGACGAGTCAAATTACAATTCGTCAGCGACGTCAGCGCGTTTCACGCTGACCAATAAAAAATACAGTAATGGTCGCGGAAATGCGACTCGCAATTGGGACACACTACAGTTTATGCTGTTTTTGTGTGTCACAAATCGATTGACATTTGTGTCTCCACAGGAATGTACCCTGAATCTTGGAAGGAAAGTGCCGGCCCATATTTGCAACTTCAGACCACCAAATGATGGATGAGGTCATGAGGTGAAGACCCTAGAGTCCCAGGATTGCAGCCTTCCTTGGAACCTAATGGCTTCTTGTAGGAGCCTCCTCGTGTTTCTTCACGAACTGTGCCAGCCCATACTTGAGCGTGTCTACAGTCACACCATCGTCTACAAGCACACTCGTTACACCAAGAGATCCGATCTCCCGCGTGTTCCTGGACTCATCATCGAAGAACAGCATGTCTCGGTATGAGATCCCCGTTCGCCTCTGGATCGCCTCGAAATGCTCCGTTTTGTGGGTAGAACTGGGGTAGATCTCAGCCGCTCGTATCACACGCTTTAACTCGATCGCATTGCCATCGACACTACCGCCACTGCTGCTGCTGTTTCTGCCGCTGCTCCTTCCGCTCCCGTGCCCTCTGGAGCTGCCATATCCGCTGCTGAACCCGCCACCATCCTCGTTCTGAAACCCTAATTTGTCCAGAAACACCCAGGCGATGTCCGGAGTCGGCGTACGCGACGCGAAGGCGATGGGGATCCCCGCAGCGGCGAGGGCCGATAGAACCTGACCCGCGTCAGGATACAAGCGCGGGTTGTCGCTCTTTCTCCGACATTCACACCAGAAGGGCCATAGGGTGTAGTCTAAATCGAAGACGACGAGTTTAGGGACCGGTTTGTCGGATTCTTGGAGATTGTGGATGGCGGATAAGGCTGCGAGCTCGGCCGGGTCACGCGGTTCGCCTCCCTGAGGATCTTTCGCCCACACCATTGTTGTGATCGTTGATCGTGCGTTCGCAAGTCGTGCGTTCGCAGAAAGGGTGTTCGCGAATCGTGCGCTGGCGAATTGCCTAGTGCTCCTGGTCGTATCGACTCTGGATCGCTTGGTCGTCGAGCAGATAGTGGTAGGGTTATGTGGGCATGCTTGAAAAGGGTCACTCGTGCAGACGATGCTGCCGATGTGTCGGCTGCCCTGCTCGAGAGAAGAGAGCAGGCTAACACGCCTAGACAATGCCAGCGGGAAGTAAGTCGGGTTCCTAGGAACGGCTAGCATTGCATAGTTTGTCTCGTGCGAATTAGAGAGCGCCAACACACCTGTTCCTGGAGCTAGCAAGTGTTCATGTTTCCTTCTTATGCTGTCAGCTATTTATGTTCTTTTTGGATAATATGCGTTTGTTCACGAGTACGCTAATGGCGAGGATGCCTGCATCACTTATGAGGCTTCACTTCGATCACGTGGAGTTGGGCCTCACGTTCTCTCGAGGAGTCTCCAATGCGAGTCAAAAGCAGCAACGGAAAGGATGGGCCGCACCGTACAAGAGTGTCCACGAAACTATCATGTGGAAGACTTTCGAGAGCGTTCTGGGCGGTTTTATAACCACCGAAACCCCTGCAAAGCTTGTACTCGATGCTGGTCGGTGTGAAGTCCTGGAAGAAAACCCGTCCTGGTGTAAGTTTGTGAATACCCTCGGTTATTGCTTTAGCTGGGAGCATCGAACCACGTTCGTCTTTGCAGTTTTATCCCACTTGGCTCATCTGTCGTCTATTACCAGAAAATGCTTTCACTGTATCATTGCTTTGGACTGCTTGCACCTCCAATTCCAAATCCGACGGACCACATTTGACGATCTCTCGCGCCTCGCCTTGTCAGCCTACCTGTCTGAGCTGTTCTGGTTACGGGGAACCCCTGAGCTCAACTCCATCTCCCTCGCCTGCAATCCGCCGATTCCTCTTCCGCAAACACGATTTTCCCACAGATCAGCTTGTTCCGCCGCCGACGTCCCGCGCATTGCGAGGGGCTGATCGGTTGGTGTACAGCGGACGTCCGCGGCGGGAAGTACACAGGGCTTCCTCCATCACCATTCCCGCTAATGGTTCCGCCACCACTTCCATTTCCCCTCTGGTCTCCGGAGGTTCACGCGCGAGGCGGATATCAAGCTGCGTTCCGCGGAGCACCTCAGCAGGGGGTCTATTGTTCCTCGAGGGGGGAACTCAGAACATTGGCTCGCAAAATCGTGGAATCCTGAAAAACTGACAGCGGAGTACGGTACGGTACAATTTTAGCAGGTGCTGTAACTATAACTCACAAAATCCCAAGGGCTAAGATTGTGGTTGTGTGGGTGTGGCTGTGGTTTGTGGCCCTAGAAGAGCCGCATCGCGGCAAGCTTTGGGGTTGGGAATAGGCCGAGCATAGCATCCAATCGAGTTGCCAGTGGCTCGCTCGCTACTCCCAAGGCAGAAACCTATGAAGTCCAGCCCAAAGCTCCAGGCATGGATTCGCGAGCCGTAAGTCTCCTTGGTATTGAAATGCAAGCGAAGCATTTGGTATATTTTTTTCCTTAGTCGCTCTAATAGGTTATCACGTTCCCTTACGTGGCGGGCTGGTAACCTCGCGTTTCCTTTCAGCTGAACGAAACACTCTCGGCACTTTAAGGCTACCCAATCAGAAAGATTCGTTCATGAAGTGTTTTGGACTAGGTGGATCATTCAACGCGGGGGATGATGACGGGGCAGGCGGAACAGTCTCCGCACCCACGTCCGCCTGTAGCACTCCCTCGGGTCATCCGCCTATAAGAAGCCGTTTCTTCAACTACCTCGGCTCTCCAACGCACCACCCGCAGAGCCTCACCTCCTCGCCTCGCGCACCAATCGCTCCTACACTAAGTGAAGTTCTCGCAGATGCTAGTATCGAGGATGAAAACCTGACCTGCTCCCCCTCGTCCCAAGCTCCCCCAGCATCCGCCGCGTCGCGCTTCCTCCAGAGGCAAGCCTCTGAGCCATACAACAACCAACCACAGTCTGGCGAATCCCCTTCTCGGTGCTCCATCTCTCCCCGCCAGAACGTGCCTCGGAGCCTGTCAGGGTCGGTGGCAGGGGCATCGACCCCACCTTTGCCGCGAGGTGGTTCAGTTGGAGGCGGCTCGGTCGGAACAGTCGGGGAGGAGTCTATAGAAGACGAGTTAGTTGTGGAAGATAACGGTGCCGCATTCGGGCGAAGGCAACGGAGAAGCTATGACGGCGGGTTAGGGTTAGGTAGCCCTGGCGGCGTGCGCGCGCCGTCGCCGCTCGGCGGGTCGCACGGAACGTCGCCCGGCGACGGAGTAGGCTCTCCGTCGCCTGTTCGCCCAGCGTCGTCGCACGCGGCCAGGCAGCAGTCGCAGCAGTCGCAGCAGCAGCAGCAGCAACAGCAGCAGAGGCAGGTTCGACGAAGCCACAGCACGTCAGCGGTCGGGAGCGTTCATGCCAATGGCAGCGCGGGCGGCGGCGGCGGCTCCGGCGGCAGCGGGGGCGGTAACAGCAGGTCGTTTAATTTCAATTTCACCAATAAAGGATCCGGTGGCGGAAACGGCGGTGGCGGAAACGGCGGACATGGCGGTGGCGGCGGTAACGGCGGTAGTAACAGAGGGTCGTCGAGTGTGCAGATGTTTAGCGGGTCGAACGTCAATCCGTTCGCGCTTCGGATCACGCAAAAAATCAACTCGCCCTCGCCCCTCGTGAAGCCCGGAGAAAATAAGGCTAGCGGCGGCGGCAGCGGCGGCGCGAACGGAACTGCAACAGAGGCAGCGGTTGCGGCGGCGTCGGGGACGGGGGCGGAGGCAGGGGGAGAAGCGGCGGCAGATCAGCTGCCCGCGACACCAGACGCAGCAATAGGCGGCACCGGGGCCGATCAATCCCTCGTTTTAAGCACGCCGCGGCGGCCGCACGACCGTGCGATGCAGCGCGATATGTTGCTGATAGATGACGTTCTTAGGCGATCGGATCTTCGCGTATTCTCTTATCCGGAGTTAAAATCCGCGACTAGGGGATTCTTGAGCGATCTGCTCCTAGGAGCCGGCGGGTTCGGGAAGGTCTTCAAAGGGGTATTGAAGCCGGGAAGCTCGCAGGGTTCGGGAGCGGCAAACGCGGCGGCAAACGCGGCGAGCAACTCGCTGGAAAGCGCCGCAGCGGCGGTTTCGGGGGTATCGGGGGGATCACCAGGAGGAGGAGGCGCTGCTGTGGGGATGGTGAACGGCGGAGGGGTGGGGGAATCGCGAAGGGCGCTGCAACAAGAGGTGGCGATTAAAAAGCTGGACGCGAAGAGCCTTCAGGTGAGATAAGGTCATTTCAAGAGCCTTAAAACTATAACAATGGGTATATAATCTGCACGTATCAGGCGAATTTTGAAGCTCATTAAAGAGAAGTGCACTGCAGCTAGAGGTGGCGAGTAATCAGCTGGAGTCGAAGAGCCTTCTGGTGAGAAGAAGGGTCAACTGAAGAGCCGATAGGCGAGGTTGAGGAAATAAAGTAAAAAAGGCTTCCACGTGACAGAAGCACGGAGTTTTGAGTATGCAAGAAGAAAAAGATAATTCAGCGATTAATGCAAGCCCTCTGGGTGAGAATATAAAAAAATACAGCCTTTCGGGTGAGAGATTCGGAGGAGATGAATCCTCAGGGGGTGAAGCGCGGAGGGCTAAGCAGCAAGAGGTGGTGACTTGATTGGTTGATTCAGGAGGTTTCCAGTTATGGTACGTTGCTATTGTAAAAAACCTATTTTCAGAAGGCTTCCTGCTGAAGTGCATGGAATGTATTAGGGTTTGCTGGAGACGAGGGAACAGCCAGAGGTCGGATCTTTGTTTGCTATGAACGCACATGCTGTAAAGAGCTGGTTAAGGGTTTTTTGTTATCATATTTATGAGCACCCTGTGAAGAAAACCCTCGGAATACACTTGTAAACCACATATCAACCACTCAGTTCCTTCCCGCCTTCATTATCCCCTTGTTAATTTCGTTCCCACCCAGTTCCATCCACCATCAGTAACCCTTCTTGCTATCACGCCCATCCAGGTTCCGCTCGTCTCATTGTTTCTGCGTCTCCCCGCAGGACCACAAGGCCTGGGCGGTGGGAGTTACTTTTAAGATTACCCCACAGGACCACAAGGCCTGGGCGCGGATGGTGGAGGTGCGGCTGCTGGGTCTCATAGACCACCCCATCCTCATGACACTTCTTGGCTTCACCTACCTTGTTTCGCCTTCTCTCCACCTTCTCCTTTCTCCCTTCCATTCTCTCATTCGCAGGGTCACAAGGAGTGGGATGGTGGAGGTGCGGCTGCTGGGTCTCATCTCATAGACCACCCCAACCTCCTTGGCTTCACCTTCTGTGTTTCACCTTCTCTTCACTTGCTCTCTTCTGCCTTCAACCATTGCTGCTCTCTCCCCAGCAGGGTCACAAGGAGTGGATGGTGGAGGTGCGGCTGCTGGGTCTCATCTCATAGACCACCCCAACCTCGTCAAGCTACTTGGCTTCTGTGCCGAGGGCCACCGCCGCCTGCTCTCTGCCTTTCTTTCACTCACTGCCCTCTCTTCCCTCGGCGTCTGTCGCTTCCTCTCTCCCATCAGGGTCACAAGGAGTGGATGGTGGAGGTGCGCCTTCTAGGCCTAATCGACCACCCCAACCTCGTCAAGCTCCTTGGCTTCTGTGCCGAGGGCCACCGCCGCCTGCTCGTCTACGAATATCTCCCCAACTCCTCCCTGGACCGGCACCTCTTTGCACCGCTCTCCACCACTGCCGCTGCTGCTGCAGCTACTAACAACGCTAACAGCCACCACCACCGTAACAGCAGCAGCAGTCACAATCACAACGTGCATGCATCGTCCGCGTCCACCGCATCGCACTCCTCCCATTCCCACTCGCACTCCTCGAAAAAAGCGGCAGCGGCGGCGGTGCTGCCGCCGTTGGACTGGGCGACGAGGCTCAAGGTGGCGCTAGGGACGGCGAGAGGGCTGGCTCACCTGCACGAGGAGGTGCAGGTCCCGGTGAGTGCTTTCGTAGAGTTTGCATCAGATACTGGTGGGTGTTGGGGGGTTGAAGGGTCGGCGCACCTGTTCTGTGCTGCAAGCGGCTCAAGGTGGCTCTGGGGACGGCGAGAGGGCTGGCTCACCTGCACGAGGAGGTGCAGGTCCTGGTGAGTGCTTGAAGATTCAAAGAGCTGGCCCACCTGCTCTGTGCTGCTCTTCCACCCCTTCGTCCACCCCATCTTTCCCGCTTCTGAACCATGCAACCCCCCATCTCCTTCACAGCCCAGATTGTCTATGGAGTATTGAAGGCCGCCAATATCCTTGTAAACGTGGACGTGGACTCTTGTGTGACCATCACAAAATGGCTTTTAAGGGAACTGAGAAATCATGTCTCCCTTCCTGTCCACTCTCCCTCCCCTTTCTCCTACACCTCAGATCCATTACCGTGATTTCAAAACATCCCACGTGCTTCTCGACACGGACTTCTATGTGACAATTATCGAAATGCCTTTTGAGTGAACCTGATAATCACGTCCCCCTTCATCTCCGTTCCCCCTCCCAATTCTCCCCACTCCCCAGATTATCTACCGTGATTTCAAGACATCCAACGTGCTTCTAGACGCGGACTTCTGCCCCAAGCTGTCTGACTTTGGGCTTGCAAGGGAAGGGCCCATGGGGGAGGAGACACACGTGTCAACGCAGGTGAGGCCTGTGATGGGTGTTGAACCGTCTCATTACTCTGTGTAGATTTTTGCTTAAAGCTTTCTGACTTCCGGCTCGCGAGGGAAGGGCCCATGGGGGATGAAACGCACGTGTCAATGCAGGTGAGGTTTGTGTTTAGTTTTTGTCGATTCTCTGTACTTATAGAGCCCATTTTTGCCCCACGTTTTCTGACTTTGGGCTGGCAAGGGAAGGGCCCATGGGGGACGAGATACACGTGTCGACGCAGGTGAGGGCCGTACCATGTGATGTTTCCACGAGTCACGGTGAGTTCTAAGTCGTCGTTGTTGGGATGGTGATTGATTGGTGACTTTGAAGTCTACCTAGGAGCAAGTGGGGGAGACGAGATCCATGTATTCAACACACAATACTCTTCGCAAAAATAAAAACTCACTTCCTTCAATCTCCTAGCACTGCAGTTGGCCATGAGTCCATGACCGTCTTTTGTGGCTAAAAGTTTTCCCGGGTTTGATAAGGCGGCGTTTGAGTCACGTTCCATTCAAAAAAAAAAAAAAAAAAAACTTATGGTTTCGTCTAGCACTACAACCAATCAAGTTTTCCCCTTGTGGCTGTCCCCTTCCCAAACTTATGCACCTCAACCAGGTGCGTGGCACGGCAGGGTATGCAGCTCCTGAGTACATGATGACAGGCCGTCTAACACCGAAGAATGATGTGTGGGCGTTTGGAGTCGTGCTTCTAGAGCTGCTCACAGGACGGCCCTCCATCGATCAACGCCGACCGCCACCGGAAGTCAATATAGTTCAATTTGCGCGGCCGTACCTACATAACAGTGCGGATTTGTCCAAGATTATGGATCCTAGACTCAGGGATAAGTACCCCAAGCAAGCAGCTGCTAAGGTGGCGGAGTTGGCGAGATGGTGCCTGGTGAATGACCCGTTCAAGAGGCCAATTATGAGTGAGGTTGTGCAGGTGCTAACTTTCTTGTCTTCCTCACAATGGCTTCAATGTTAGCTGATAATATCATGATTGTCAATTTCACGGCTATGTATACCTTGTGTGATATCAATCTGAACTTGCTGATCCAGGTGTAACGAACCAGACGCCCTCATCGGACTTCTTATATCGACTCCACACCTCCCGTTCTTGTCGCAAGCCACGGAAGCTCGTGATTGTGTACCTGGAACGGAGCGGGTACAACACACCTTGATTTGGATAAATTTGTCTTTGCTGATTCGACGGCACTTGTGGCTGGAACCTATCCAGCCAAGGTGGCACGAAGTCAGATCTTGTATGACGTGGCATCGCGTGTATCTTTTCATGTTACTTCGATACAATGCTCAGCTGGGTCGTGTGGCTGACGAGCTCAAATTTTTTATTTCGCTACCACGAGAAACTTGGTCGATTTCTGGTAACAACCACATTTCCCTAATTCTGCCACAACCCCTCCAAGCCAAGGCCTCCCCACAGCCTCTCCACACCCTCCCCACGCCTCAGCCACCTCCATCACCTCCATCCCTCGCCCATTTCTGCTTTGCAGCCTGCTTGTGGTTCCCTGATCCAGAAACCGCCTTCTTGCTCTCTTCACATCCATCCTCCTCAGCCTCCCCCACGTGCCGCCATGGCCGCTATCTCCATGAGCATGACCCCTATGGTCCTAGCGGCCAAGGGCAAGGAGGAGCAGGGTTCCTTCATGGACTGGCTCGACAACGCCACTGTGAAGCGGGTGTCGTGGACCGAGACTGACTCGAGTACGTCGGAGTGCATGGATATATTTTTATCTGGCTGAACTGTCACCTCCAACTCATTTCGTGGCGAAGTGCAATTTGGCTTTCTATGGTAGTTGTGTTCCATCATCTTGAGATTTCTTGCAGCAATACTTTTCATTGTGTAGCGTCAATCTCTGATTTCGTTATGGCTGACAGAACATCAATACCCTCATGATGATTTTCCGGCGTTTGCTTATCGCGTCTCACGTCCTGAACTTCCGCTCTTGTTGTGCAGCCCTCGTGAACATTAGGGAGGGTAAGGGTTCCAGGCCTGGGACGCAGTCCAAGGCTTCGAAGAAGACGAAAGAGACGAACGAGAGCGTAAGTCTCATGCATGGTGTTGTCTTTCGTCCTCCATTCGTGTTACATTTGATTATTTTTTTCACTTCACAATACGTGCCTAAGTTATCTGGATTGTGGTTTTTTTTTTATTGTGTGAGCAGAAGCCCTTCTGGAAGAAGTAAATGCGGGGTGTCCTGTTAATCAAAGCTCACTGAGCATAGGATATACATCGCACCATTGTAGCTAGCTCGATTATTTTGAAGAGATTTTCCTCCACCTGGCTGGTGGCATTGTTGGAAGTTCTGTGCTCTTTGATTTTGATTATTGCATTTGATGATGCCTCATTCAAACTCGTTTCTCTCCGCACAATGATGTGGAAGTGATGTGTATGTATCAAAGAAAAGGAAGCTTAGGAGTTGTTTGACAAAAATTATATGTTGACATTTCTCTGAATTATTAACCATTACTACAGAATCTCAGTTCAACAGGAGTGACTCTTAGCTGGTATCCAACAGAGCCCTTAGTCTAACCACAAGCCCTCTCACATGCACGACAGTCTCCATGCTGAACCACAAAACAAGGCAAGCCCAGGGCCACTTGATCATTCTACCGGTATAAGCCAGCCCTGGGAGTTCTTGTCTAGAAAAGCCGAGCGCTCTATAAGTTACACCAAGACCCATTGTGTACGGCATTGCATACCCCCCACTGCCCACCAAACATTGTGTTCCGTTTACGGTAGGTGAACACCAGCTTGTGAAAGCAAAGGCGGTGTAGAAGACCGTCTGCGATCAAGGACACCCTATTTATGTTGAGGGTGAGAAGACCTGAGCGTATGGGCGGTGATACTTTGGACGGGATGCACGTCAGATTCCTTCCTACTCCGACAAGTCACCTCATCCCATCCCATCACATCACATCTCGTCGCACACATCAACAAGAGCATCTCATTGTTTGCGTAGGCGCCACACGTAAAATGGTTACAGTTTGCGGAGCGACGGACTGTGGAACAAGCATCGGAAGGAAATGGGGCACCTGCGAGCTATTTGGAAAAGGGGCATTACTTTCTTCATCTGCAGGAAAGCTTCAACCCGACACATTTCACTCTTGACAAGATTATGTTGATAGCACTTATACCCGACCTTCCACTTTTTCAGGGATTTATTCTGCCCAGGAAGTTCCTTCCGTACTTGCTTTCTCTTGTCCTTCCACAACTTGAACGTTTCTTTTTTCCCATCGCCCCTGCAATCTCCTCCCCCGTCCCCCCCCACGTTCGTATCCCCCGGGTCCTTGGTTTAAAAAATCTCCCCCATTTCCTACTTGAAGACCAAGCTAGGCCTTTCCCAATCTAGTCACATCAGCTCCTCCCCAGTTCCTCATTTCTCCCAACCGTCTGGGAGCTGCAACAAGCTTAGCGATTATACTTTCCTTGCTCTACCTTTCGACACTTCTAGACCGCATTTCCCGCGGCCAAGATGTTTCGCAAATCGAGCAAGACGCTGACGGCCAACATCCTCAACCGTCCGCCAGCTGAAATCAGTGACCACTTCGTGATGGGGAAGGAGCTGGGAAAGGGACAGTTCGGCGTGACGCATTTGTGCACGGATAAGAAGACCGGCGAGCAGCTCGCGTGCAAGTCCATCGCGAAGCGTCGCCTGTCAACTAAGGAGGAAGTCGAGGATATCAGGTGCTCGCTACGAGCCTCCAATGTTCCTTGTTCCTTTATTCCCAAACTGCATTTCTTTACCCGCTGATGTTTTCGCAATGTCTTCTCCGTTTCGCGTTATTTCTCGCAATGCGGTATGGGAATGCGAGCCTTATGTCTGCTCGCGCCACATCTCGGAAGTTTCCCGAGTTTTGGTAACATCATGCGCATCCCTTTTCGTGTTGAGCTGAATCGATAGCCTTTAGAATGGGCTTCATTCCTGAAGCAAATACGCCATATTGCCTCAATGCTCTCGTCCTGCTGATGTGGGGAAATAATTCCCTGCTTGCATTTTATTGCATGCATTCTAGTGACCGCATTGGTCATTCGATCCCCGGGATTGTCGGCGATTGTCGGTCATGTTAAGAGCAACTGGTTTAAGAGAGAGTACTTACGCTCCATTGATGTCTTTCGCGTTGGCTCTTCTTTCCCTCCTGCCTGTTTCTGTTTTCTTTGTTCATAGTAGTTGGTTTCTCCAGTAAACGTCCAGTAGGCTTCCCCATGTGCTCTTAGTTGCAACACATTACCGATACATTCCAATGACTTAACCTCGCCATTGCTTCTTCTACATAGCAATGCCCGAAGACCTTCAGAAGCGTCTATCCATCCGCTTCTTTTTTCTCTCTCAATTTTTTTTCTTGGGTTTTAACTCATCATCATCTTTCTCCGCGTTTCCAGGAAGGAGATCGCCATCAAGCACCATCTAGCCGGTCACCCAAACATCGTCACCCTGCGCGGCGCGTTCGAGGACAAGCAGAACGTGCACATACAGACAGCCACACCCACCCATCTCGTCTCCTCCTCTCCTCCTCCACCATGCTTGCACGAACCGAGGCACTCATAATCCTCCTGTCTCCTCTCCTCTTTCCCCCCCTGTCTTCTCTGTCCTTCCAGGAAGGAGATCGCCATCATGCACCATCTGGCCGGTCACCCAAACATCGTCACCCTGCGCGGCGCGTTCGAGGACAAGCAGAACGTGCACATCGTCATGGAGCTTTGCGCCGGAGGCGAGCTCTTCGACCGCATCGCGGCGCGCGGCCACTACAGCGAACGCGCCGCGTCGGGCCTCATCAAAACCATTCTCTCCATCGTCGACTATTGCCACCAGAAGAAAATCATCCACCGCGACTTAAAGCCCGAGAACTTCCTCCTCGCGAACAAGCGCGAGGACGCGCCGCTCAAGGTCACGGATTTCGGCCTGTCGGTGTTCTTTAAGGACGGCGAGGTGTTTACCGAGACGGTCGGCAGCGCGTTCTACGTGGCGCCGGAGGTGCTTAAGGGCAAGTACGGCAAGGAGTCGGACGTGTGGAGCTGCGGCGTCATTCTCTACATTCTCCTCAGCGGCGCTCCTCCCTTCTATGGATGTGAGTCGATCCAACGTAGTACATTGTTGCCGTGATGTTTCACATTCTCTTCAGCAGTGCTCCGTCCTTACCTGGGTTGTCAATCGGACTTAGCAACTCGCTTTTTTTTATACATATAACGGGGTGCGAGCAACTTCTGTGGATATAGTTCTTATTCTGAGACGTTTCTAAACCGGAGCATTCAAAACGCTCGTCATAGAGAGAATGCTGGACTATGAGTGTGAGTCTCGCCCTTTATCGCGATCCTGCGTCTGGTTTTTTAGCTCCGCAAGCAAAACGATACTAAGACAAGACATCTGTTCAGCGACAATAGTATCCAGATGGTTGGCCGCTAATGCGGTCCTCGAGAAGCAGACTCTCAACGCGTCCTGGTAGTGGTCTGCGGATCTCGTGGGCGAGCCGTGGCCGCGCATCAGCGACGCCGCATGCACTCCCCTCATACTTCTATCCACTCGTTTCCATCCTCTCTCCCCTCCTCCTCCCCCTTTCTCTGCTTCCTATTCCCTTGCTCCCCCTGTTCCCCCTGTTCCCCCCGTTCCCCCTCCCCTTCAAACCCCCCTGCTGAACAATCCCCGTTCCCCCCTCTTCCCAGCGTCGGAGAAGCAGATTCTCAACGCGGTGCTGATGCGCAACGCGGACCTGGTGGGCGAGCCGTGGCCGCAAACAAACATCAGCGACTCCGCCTGCCGTCTTACTTTTCTTCCCGCCCTTCATTCTAGTCCATCCACGGTCTCACCTCCCCAACTCTCTGCTTTTCCCATTCCCCTGTTCCCCCTCCCTCCCTACCTCCCTCTCCCCACCTCCCCCCCAACGTCCCCTTCCCCCCATTCTCAGCGACGGAGAAGCAGATATTCAACGCGGTGTTGAAGGGCAACGCGGATCTGGCGGGCGAGCCGTGGCCGCACATCAGCGATTCCGCCTGCTCTCCGCTCATTCTTCTTTCCACCCTCGTTTCCATCCACCCTCCCCTCCTCCTCTCCCCCTTTCTCTGCCTCCCATTCACCTGCTCCCCCTGTTCCCCCTCCCGCCTTTCTCCCCGCCCCACCAACTTCGCTAAACAAACTCAACTCCCCCTTTCCCCCCCAGCGACGGAGAAGCAGATTTTCAACGCGGTGCTGAAGGGCAACGCGGACCTGGCGGGCGAGCCGTGGCCGCACATCAGCGATTCCGCCAAGGACCTCGTGCGCCGCATGCTCACGCTCGACCCGCACAAGCGCATCACCGCCGCTGACGCCCTCCGTGAGTGCCTGCTGTCTGGCGCACTGGGTTGGGTTGGGTTTGGTTGGGCTGGGTTGGGCTGGGTTGGGTTGGGTTTCGCGGTCTGTCACGAGCTTCTGTGTCTATAGTTGCATAAGGGTCTCGTGCGCCGCATGCTCACGCTCGACCCGCACAAGCGCATCACCGCCGCCGACGCCCTCCGTGAGTGCCTGGCTGTGGCGCTTGCATTGGTTTGGGTTGGGTTTGCCTGGTTTGCCTGGTTTGGCTGGTTGTTATGTGTTTTGAAACGCTGCGGAACGCGCATCACCCCCCAAAATTCCCCCGTTTCCCCTCGTTTTCCCCTCGTTTTCCCCCGCCCCCTTTCCCCCTCCCTCTGCTCCTCCCCATGCGCGCAGGCCATCCGTGGGTGGCGGCGGACAAGGCTTCGGACAAGCCGCTGGGCGCGGCCGTGCTGAAGCGCATTCAGAAGTTCAGCGCCGCCAACAAGATGAAGAAGCTCGCTCTCAAGGTGAGCGCAGAGTGGAGTGTGGTTGAGAGGAGGAAATGTGGGTGTGGGAGTGTTTCTAAAGGAAGACCATTGTCTTAACGCATGTGCTGATGTTTTCTCCTGAGCACCACCATACCATCCAACCACCCCGCCAGTCATCTCCTTTTGCACACCAGTCGGTGGCACTGCAAGTTTTGAGACGTCTCAAAACACTGTAACACGATGATTTTCAGGCTGAACTCCAAGTTAAGAAGTTGCCTACCCCATTCCCCCCACCTATCCTCGTTTTGACGCCCCATCCTCGCCACCTCACCCCTCCATCACCACTTTTAACCTCACGTCGCCCACTCTTTCTCGCACCCCTCTCCCCCGCGTTTTCCCCCTCACGCCCTCCTGTGGTAACCAGGTGGTGGCATGCAACCTGTCACGCGAGGAGATCTTAGGGCTGAAGAAGATGTTCAAGGAGATGGACAAGGACGGCCCATCTCCCACCTGTCCTCCCAATCATACTCCCCATTGCCCACTCCTCCCCTCCTATCCCCCTCCATTTCTCCCCTCCGTCTGACCCTCCCCTTCTCTCTTCTTCCCCTCCCTTCCCGCGCGCCCTCCCCCCTCCCCTTCCTCTCCCCTCCCCTGTCCCTTCATGTGGCGACCAGGTGGTGGCGTGCAATCTGTCGCGGGAGGAGATCTCGGGGCTGAAGAAGATGTTCAAGGAGATGGACAAGGACGGCAGCGGCAGCATCACGTACGACGAGCTGCGCGAGGGCATGCGCCGCCTCGGCAGCCCCATCCCTCCCGAGCAGCTGCAGCAGATCATGGAGGCCGTGAGTGGCGTTGGCTCTTAGTCTCAAACGTGCTTTTGAGAGTCGTGTGGTGAGATTCGCCATCTTAGGATGAGGTGCCTGCCTCAGCAGCCCCATCCCGCCCGACCAGCTGCAGCAGATCATGGAGGCGGTGAGTCGCCTTCCGATGTCTGAAAGATTGAGTGTTTTCAGACTGTGAGGCTGTGTTGAGCTGAAATTCGCAAGCCTCGGACATCCCATCACACCCTCTCACATCACCCCAAACCTCCCCTTGCCCTCTCCCCTCCTCCCCTGTCCCCTTGTCCCTGCGCTCCCTTGTGTTCCCGCCGTCCCTTTGATTACCAGGCGGACGTGGACAACAGCGGCACCATCGACTACACGGAGTTCATCACAGCAACGATGCAGATGAACAGTGTCGAGAAGGAGGAGCACATCCTCGCTGCGTTCAAGCACTTCGACAAGGACGGCAGCGGGTGAGATGAGATGACATGAGATGACATGAGATGGCAGTGGGGTGAAGTGACATGAGACAGCACCTGGTCTCTGGCTGATAGCAGAAGGAGGAGCACATCCTTGCCGCGTCCAAGCACTTCGACAAGGACGGCAGCGGGTGAGCCTAGAGATGACATGAGATGGCGAGACGAGGTGAGAGACAGCACATAGGCCCTGGCCGCCTTCAAGCACTTGGACGAGGATGGCAGTGGGTGAGCCAAGGACGGTAGCTGGTGAGATGAGTTGAGATGGCAGGGGGGTGGGATGAGAGACAGTAGCTGGGTACTGGCGAGATGAGATAACAGGGGGGTAGAGGAGACGAGACAGAATTTGTCCTCACGCCCCAATGACTACAGGGGGTGAGACGCGATAGCATGGCGTTTACTCACCCATTAAAGCACTCTTGACAGCAACCCACCCATCCGCCCCTTCCCACCCCCTGGCCCCACGCCCACCCCATCCCACCCCATCCCACCCCACTCAATCCACCCTTGTGCACTCCTCCTGAGCACCCCCTCAGCTCCTTCCCTTCACTGTCCTCTCTTAACCTCCTAACCTCCCCTCCCTTCCCCTCTCCTCTTCCTCCTAACCCCTCACACTCACAGCAACATCGCAGTGAGCGAGTTGCGGGAGGCACTGGAGGATGAGGGAGGCTTATAAGTTATAACCCTCGTTATGTCCCTGTTGCACCCCCCCCCCCCCCCCCCCCTCCCCCCCCCGCCTCCGCGCCTTAGCCTTTCACCCTCACAGCACCATCACAGTGAGCGAGTTGAGGGAGAGGCGCTGGAGGATGAGTGCATGCTGATTCTCAGGGTTCTTTATCCATTCCCTTCTCTCCTCGTCCTTTCCCTTCTGAACACCCCTCACCCCTCACCCTGACAGCATCATCACGGTGAGCGAGTTGCGGGAGGCGCTGGAGGATGAGGGCATGCTGGAGCCGGGGGATATCGAGCAGATCATCGAACAAGTGGACACGGACCGGGTGAGTTGATAGAGGGCATGGCATGAGTATCGGCAGTACACAATCGGGACATGAGCGATGTATCATGTACGTGTGGTGTGGTGTGGTGACGACGAGGGCATGCTGGAGCCGGGGGATATCGAGCAGATGATTGGGCAAGTGGACACGGACCGGGTGAGTTGATGAGGGGTTGGGGAGAGATGGGATGGCATGTGGAGTGAGTGGCAGTGCAGAGTGAGCGAACGTGTGTTTTGAGGGCATGCGGTGCATATGATGAGTGGTGATATGATGTGTGGTGATATGATGTGTGGTGGTATGATGTGTGGTGATATGATGTGTGGTGATATGATGTGTGGTGATATGATGTGTGGTGATATGATGTGGTGGTATGATGTGGTGATATGATGTGGTGGTATGATGTGGTGATATCATGCGACCCACGTGATGGTAAGACTCAGTTTGACGCTGTCATGATGAATTCTATGCAAGCTACACCACAAGCCTGAAAACAAACCTCTTTTCTCTTATCTCCCACCCTCCAGCTGTGGTTACAGAAACAAATTACTGCTACCAGGTGTGAATCCCAACATCATAAATCTTGAAATCTCTTTTCCTGCCCCATCTACGGTACCTTCCCTGCGTGTGGTAACAGAGCGGCACGATCGACTACGAGGAGTTTGCAGCCATGATGCGGCAGCAACAGGGAGGAGCGGCCGAGAAGCCCCGCCGCAAGCAAGGAATGTCCTCCGCCTACTACTGAAATACTGCTTATTGTCAGACAAATTCAGTGCACTCTTGCATGTAATTCTCTGGATAAGTTATTCTAGCTAGTGATTGGTGCTCTACTGTGGTACCGTAGGTAGGGTTTTGAAAGTTGACTGCTGCCTTCCAGCTATAGTAGCCCCTCCTGACTCAAATGGGTGCCATTGTTCAGACAGCATTTTATGGCTTTGCAAAATTTACGGGAAACTGATAGTGTATAAACCAAAGATACCCTAACAAGCTGTACTGTATGTATTTTAAGGGCGTGTGACATTTTTTATTTGTTACGTTAACGCTCGTCAAATAGCTCGTGAAGAAACGAACGGCGTCGTGCGCGTCCAGGCCCCCAGAAGTCAGACAAATTTCTCTGATTTGCCTAAAAAACTCATATATTTCAGCCTTTTTTCGAAGTGAACTCTAAAAATTCAGCCTTTTTTTGAAGAAAAACCAGGAAAAATGCGATTTTTTCTAGTGTGCAATGGTATTTCTGCAGGAAAAACTCTGTTTTTCAGAGTTAAGTCATGTACCAACTCTGAATTTTCAGACTAGCCCAAAACCAATCTGTGCGCGTCGCATTTTTCCCGTACGACGTTGTCTGTGTCGCAAAGCGAGTGTACGACGTCACCAGATTCGCAAGCATCCAGACGTACATTGCACTTATGTCAGGAATTTCTGTGATTTTGAAAAATGTCACATGCCCTAACATTTCTGACAGATATTGTGTAATTGTGAAAGCTTGCGATTTGCCTTGCAAATGCAACGTCTCATTTCAACTTGCAAATGCAACGTCTCATTTCAACTGGCAAGTACAAGATTTTATCGTCCAAGCATTATACAACAGAATAGCATTGTGCATCTTATGCTAGGGTGGGAGGGCGGGAAACTTGAACTTGAAAGTTCGAAATGAAAAACCTGGGTGAAGGCCAAATGGTCTTCGCCCCCTCTTTTGTACCAAAAAGAGGGGAAGTAGCGGTTCGCCGAAGCCTTTGCTTCGGTACAATTCGCTTCGCTATTCACAATACACAATTTTAGTAAGTGTTTCACTTTCAAAAATTTACATATTGTGAAAGCTTACGATTTGCCTTGCAAATGCAACGTCTCATTTCAACTGGGTCTTCTGAGACATGTGGAGAGGAGGTTGGCGGTGTCTCGTAATGGCGTGACGATGCTGTGAGGGGGAAGGTGCGTGGGCTTCATCCTGGATGTCGCGAGAAGCTGCGATAAGGTGTTGCTGCGAGATAGTCACATATAGGTCCTTTGCGGTCTCGCTTCGCCAACGCCCAAGTCGTTTGAAGATGCGATCTGGGACTCCCGCACTAGCTGCAACCGTGGCAGCTCCTTTGCGAAAGGAGTGGGTGCCAAGGTGTGTTGGGTCGATTCCTGCGGCTTCGAACGCTTGCATACACCATGTACGGATGGTGGTGTACGATGGGGCAGTGTCTAATGCGGACGGCGGCGAGCTGCGGCGGAAAACGCGGATCAGCGGCCCTTTGGATGTCGGTCCGTATTCCGCTAGCCAAATGAAATGGCGGGTGCACCTCACCGGACAGAGTGGTCCGTCAGTTGTGGCGACTGGGACCCATACACCCCTGCCCTCTTGGTCGGTCTTTGAGTGTGGGATTAGTAGCCACATTGCCGTTGCCTCGAATTGGATGTCCTCCCATTGGATAGCCACTAAGTCCGAGAAGCGCAAGAATGCTGAGTACATGAGCAACACGATGAGGCCTTTCTGATATGTGCCTGGTTGGCTCGATTGGGGGAATGGCCTAGCCATCGCGTGAACCTGATGAAGGGAGACGGGTTCCTTCACCCATGCTGGTCGGGGGCACTGTCTTTTGGTGTAATCGTGTACTTGTGTCGTGAACGGGCCGCATGTTGGGTTAGCGGAGCCTGTCATTCGGTGGGCGAAGCTAATCGCGGCACATGTGAGCTGCACGCTGGAGACGGTGGCCTTGTGGTTGATCGCATGCACCAGGTAGAGTGCGACTGTGAGGTCCGCGGCAGGCAGGAAGGCCGCTTTTGCCTTGACGCAAAAACTCCTAAACTTCTCCCAATAAGGTTCGTATGTGTTGATTGTTGAGTCGGACCGTGTCTGGGCCATCATTAACAGTAGCTGCTGATGCAGCTTCGGAATCATATCTGACATCATTATGAAAACAATGTTCATAGATTAGGAATGGAAGTTAATTTGAAGTGCAAGGATTCTGCTAACAGGGAGACCGGCTCCTGAGAATGCGCCAGTATGCGAACCGACATGCAAGCACTGGCTACCGCTAGCAAGACGCAAACACGATGTTACGCCGACTGCCCAGGTCTTGGGCGAAGGCCGGAGCAGGGGCCACCATGGAGCACCCGTCCATTCGAGAATGACTAGCGTCAGCGTCGCAGATGTGCGCGCGGCGTGGCGCAGGGTGGCCGGGATCAGGTGAGGAGGGGGAAATGCAAATCCGTGTTCTGGTCCCCAGTCCTGCGAGAAGGCGTTGACGGCAGTTGCACGTGGGTGGGGGACCTTCGAAAAGAAACGCGAGAGTTGCGCGTTATTGGCGTTTGCAAAAAGGTCAACCGTGTGTGGTCCCCAACGCCTCTCAAGTAATCGGAACCAAGGGAGTTTCAATGAATAGTCGTCGTTGTCTTCTAGCTTGGAGAGTGCGTCTGCCTCTACGTTGAGAGTCCGAGGGATCCATTCGATAGCCAGCCGAATTTCGTTTGCCATGCAAAGTGCGATGATGGACTTGCATAGGAGGGTGAGCTCGGGTTGCCCAGAACCACCTTTACGAAGAATGAAGAATACGCCCTGGTTGTCCATGCGCATGAGCACATGGCGGCCTTGAATTTGGTTTGAGAATGTGCGCAGGGCCCAGAGCACTCCTTCGAGCTCTCGGCGTGTACTCGAGGTGGTGAGGAGCTCGTGCGGCATTGGGCTGCTGCCTTGCAGGTTTTCTCCAGGGAACGAAGCTAGGGTCGCACCCCAACTGTGAGCACTTGCGTCTACATGAATCACCGTGTCGATGCTGTGGGGCATGTGAAACGGCGCCCCGTTAAAACGATCGAAATTGTCGAGCCAGAAGTTGAGCTCGTCACGAGCCTCCAAGGTCAGGTGTGTTCTGCCATTCCATGATGGCGCAGTATTGATGAGTTCTAGGAGTTGGTGACTGAATGCTCGTGCCGTTGTGCCAAGAGCCAGCGCCATGGAAGCGAGGATGCCGGTGACCCGTGCGACAAGGCGGATTGGTATCCGTTGTCCACGCTCGTAGGCGGTGAGAAGCACCCGGAGCGTATGCATGAGTTGCGCTCGACGTTCGGGGCCGATGGTGAATCTTCCTGATTGAGTGTCCAACTCCATCCCGAGAAACTGCAGTTTCTGGGTCGGGGTGAGGTGCGATTTTTTAGCGTTGATGACAAGGCCCGACTGTCGTAGGTCCCGAATGATTGCATTACGTGTCGCGCGTGCGTTCTCCTTCGATTGGCAGAGGAATAAGATATCATCCACATATGGAATGACTCGAGTACCTTGCGCACGCCATTTTCGAGCCAGTTGTTTGATCAATTGAGTGAAAAGGAAGGGTGCGGTTGCAAGGCCGAACGGTAACGACTTGAAGTAGTAATCCGTGCTGTCGAAGTGAAACCCCAGGAACTTCCAGCAGGTTGGGTGGATATCGACGTGATGGAGAACATCCAGTCGCCCGGTTGTGCCAACTCGGGGACTCGCGCCAAGCCTTCGTACTTGAATTTAGGAATAACGAGGTACTGGTTGAGTTTTCTCAAGTCCAAGATAAGGCGACACTTGTCGCGCTGTTCCACGACGTTTAGTGGACTAGTACATGCGACGAGGAGTGGGCCCTCTGCGACTGCTGCTGCACCGGACGAGAGCAAGTCGGAGATTGCCGATCATGATTCTTGTTACGAAACGACGGTGGTGGGGCCGCTTTCCAAGGAAGCCAATATCCATTTGCTATGACTGACAGGATGAGACTTCTCTCGCACCATGAAGCCCACCAAGCGAAAGCTTGGTGCGATCGACCCCCCATGGTGGTGACTTCCTTGTCAGTGATCGCATGCTCCATGGTCTTACTCCATTCGCCCGGTCGTGAGGGACAAGCGCCTGCCATGGCGGTTGGGTTGGATCAACAGTAGTCGTATCTCAACCCTTTTAGGTCAAGCCACAAGGCGCTATTCCAACGTGAACATGTTATGCGAGTAGAACGAGGAAGAGTTCATAAGAATCAATCAGACGAACGTTGTAAAAACGACATGAACATGTATCTCGCACCAACCAACTTCTCGCGTGCTTGTACATGCCCCAACAGCGAGGCATTAGAAACGTTGGAGGTAAGAGCAGTGACGCAGTTGCACACAATGATGTTCTACCGAATCATTCCCCTTCTCCCTCTCTCTCGTGCCCACAATGATGTTTTATTTTTGCCATGTGTGCTAGGGGGTGTGAATTGCAGGGTCTCACTCCCCTTGTCCTGTTAGAATCGTAGGCAAAAAGTGGTGTCGACTATCGAGAGGGTTGGTACAAAGAAGAAACCTAAGGGGTTGTACCCCACAGTGTGTACCCCACTAAGCCTACCCAAACTATAACATATATATACATATGTTTGACACACCCCCATAGGCAGAGTGGGGGAGAACAGAGGGTCACAAGACCAGTCAGGAAGTGCAAAGCAAGCTCAGGGTGGATCACAACGTCACCACGCAATCCGAGCACAAGCAAGAGGGCCACAAGGCCAGTTCACATGCAGAGATATATATGTAACAACAACAGTACAGTGATATCTACCTACAAGAACAAGCATGCAGGAATACATATAAATCATGGTACAAACAAAGCCTACAGCAAGTGAGGAAGCGTGGGCACAAGGCCTAACAAAGTGCAGAAACGCTGATGATCACCAGGCGGAAGTGCCTTGGTGAATATATCAGCAGTGTTGGCCCGAGTGGCCACGTAGGTAAGACGAAGCTGGCCACGCTGCTGCAGCTCTCGAGCAAGAAAGT